TTTTGTTATTTTTGGTGCAATTGTAAGTGGAAGTGTTTTTTTTTTAAGTTTTTATTTAAATTCCAGGGGTTAACACAGTGTAATATTAGTTCCAGCTGTACAAAATAGTGATTCAGCCCTTCCATACATCACCTGGTACTCATCACAAGTGACCCTCTTTCACCCCATCACCCATTTAACCCATCTCCCCAGCGACCTCCCCTCTGGTATCCACCAGTTTAGTCTCTATAGTTAAGAGTCTGTTTCTTGCTTTGCCTCTGTTTTAATGTCACTTTCTCTAGCTTCATTATTAGTGTATAGGACTGCAACAGAGTTTTGTACATTGATTTTATATCCTGCAACTTTACTGGCTCATTTATCAGTTCTAGCAGCTTTTTTGGTGGGGCCTTTAGAGATTTCTATATATAGTATCATGTCATCTGCAATGCGGTGAAAAGTTCTACTACTTCTTTACCAATTTGGATGCCTTTTCTTTTTGTTGTCTAACCACTGTGGCTAGGACTTCCAATACTGTGTCGAATAAAAGTGGAGAGAGAGGACATCTTTGTCTTGTTCCTGACCTTAGGGGGACAGCTTTTGGTTCTTCCTCATTGAGCATGATGTTCATTATGGCGTTTTTGTATATATGGCCTTTGTTATGTTGAGGTGTGTTCCCTCTAGACCTACTTTGTTGAGGGTTTTTATCATGAATAGTTGTACTTTGTCAACATCGGCATCTATTAAGATGAAATGGTTTTTATCCTGTTATTAATGTGACATATCATCTTGATAGATTTGTGAATATCAAACCATCCCTGCATCCCGGGAATAAATCCCAGACTGTGGTGAATGATTTTTTTTAATGTATTCTTGGACTCTGTTTGCTAGTATTTTATTGATTTCTGCATCTATGTTCATCAGCGATATTGGCCTGTAGTTCACTTTTTGGTAGTGTCTTTATCTGTTCTTGGTATCAGGGGGGATACTGGCCTCATAGAATGAATTTGGAAGTTTTTGTTTATTGTTTTTGTTTATTGGGAGTTTATTGCTGATTTATTTTCTCTACTTGTAATTGGTCTGTTCAAATTTTCTATTTCTTCCTGTTTCAGTTTTGGTAGATTATGCTTCTAAGAATTTATCTCTTCTAGGTTATCCAATTTGTCAACGTCTAATTTTTCACAATATTCTCTTACAATTATATTTCTGTGGTGTTACTCTCTTTATTTTGGATCTTTTTTAATGAGTCTGACTTGAGGTTTATCAATTTTGTTGATCTTTTCAATGAACCAGCTCCTGGTTTCACTGATCTGTTCTATTTTTTGGTTTCTAAATCACTTATTTCTGCTCTAATCTTTATTATTTCCTTCCTTCTGCTGGTTTGGGGTTTTATTTGTTCTTTACCTAGTTCTTTAGATGTAAGGTTGTTTTTTTTGAGATTTTTCTTGCTTCTTGATGCAGGCCTACATTGTTATAAACTTTCCTCTTAGAACCGTGATACCAGTTGCAGAATGTTGGTTAAATTTCTATTTCTGTATGTTCTATGCTGCAGGTAAGTACAGGTTTCTATACATGGACAGAAACTGAGGAAACATCTATTCAGCCACCCCAGTGTAACAATTAGATGGCACATCAGTAAGAATAGAGTGGTAGATAGGATGATGTAGGTCCATTTTCACCACAGCCCCAGTCACCACAGCCTTGTTGTTTATATGTTTAGTGTTAGTATGCTTTTTTAGCATAATATAGTACATCTTAAGGAAATTGAATTATAGGATTTCTTTCTGATGTGGGGATTCATAGCTATACAGATTAATTCAGTAAGCACAGACTTAAAATTACTTTTAATACAATTTTCACATTAAAAACTTGCAAAATTTGCTGGGATTAATAATTTTTATTTTTCTAACCAAATTGTGGTGTCCGTTTATAAGTGAGTAGTGGATTATAGATATGTCAATATACAAAATATTTAGGATATACATGCACTTAGATAAATTACATAATTCTATAGTTTCACTCCCTGGACCTTCTAAAAAGTGTATATATTTTATAAAAACAAATTAGAACAGAAACTCCCAGTAGATGAAAAGAACTTGGTGTTATAGGAAAATATAAAGAGCACATGGGACAAATATGTATTAGTATTAAAATTACAGGCCAAGCCCACTTAAGCTGGTATACACAATAACCTGCCCCTTTAAATTATATGTATTTCTTTAAATAGGGCCAACCATAGCAAGTATATATTGTCTGTAACATGTCTAGGGTAATTATCAAGAAGTCGATTTTTCTAAAAGAAAAAAAAGTCACTAGTGATGAATTTGTATCATTTCCCAGTTTTTAGCTGTTATGGAATTGCAGTGGGGCTAGATGTGTAATTGTAAGCGTCATAACATATCAAGAAAAAGTCCATTTGTTTCACAAGCATTTGGAATTACTTGGAGAAATAAAATTAAAAGTATATATCAAATACTTCATACAAAAAAGACTATACAAAAATCATGGACTTTATTATACATAAAAATCTCCTAAAAGCATATATCCTCAAGCCTTGTCAGAGAATACCTACTTTGACAAAATGAAAAAAATAAGCTCTCCACCCCACATGTATACCACCATTACATAAAGTTGAGATCTTCAATTCTAAAGGGAAATGTAGCATGATTTTTAATTGTATATATGCATGATTAATAGTATCAGTGAGATAAGAACCAATTCACTTAACATTACAAAATCACCAAATATACAAAGCAGTTTTGCACATTAGTTATAACTTAATCCCAGTTCTCATATTAGCGGAAGTAAATTATATGAGTATAGCCACAAGAGACTAGTTAAAAAGTGTAGTATAGTTCCAGTTTCGAATCTTTGTGTTATTAATGCAGAAGAACAAAATTCATGGAAGAAGAGTAACCAAAGTTGCTTAAAATAAAATGAAAGACTTGCTTGCTACAATCAGTGTGTATGAATATTTAAAGTACAATCTGAATGCTAGGAGGATGTTGCCAAAACCAATGTTAATATTTTCATTTTATTAATTCAGGTAGCAGAAGGTTTTGCAATACACGGGATCTTGGGGTCTGTCAGCATTTATAAGATTCAAATCTTTGTAGTTACTACACATAACTCAATATTAACTCAGATGCCTTTACCACACAAGACCATATGCTACGTAGAATGTTATGCATACCCTACTACCCTTTACCCAAGCATAACAGTAACAATTTTACCATGCCTAGAGCCTGAGAATTCTTTGGAAATTAATCATTGTAGAAATGACAAAAACTAGACTGGCTTTGGGGACTCTGTTCAGTCCCTTGTTGGCAAGTTTTAAAAATTTTAAAGGGAGTAGCAGTAATTTATTTCCTATCTATTCATTACCATTGTTACAAAAGTAGTTTTCCTATAGGTAGCAGAGTGCATAGTTGAATTAGGTAGACTTTCTTTTAAAGAATCAATTTTGTTAATTTCTAAAACCATCAAGTGTAAGTTTGAATCTGAGAAGGCGATCCCAAATTCTAATTCAATTACCACCAAAGCATCCAAGAGCCAGAAGGGATATCAAAGTGTAACAAACCAAGATCAGCTTTAACATTATGGAGAAACCCATGGGCAGCCTTCTTCAAACAAAAAGGTGAGTTTTTTTAAGTTGATGCTTAAATATCTGCAGTATGGAATAGTTTGTATAGTTCTATAGCAATGGACCAAAAGTTGAAATATCTAAAATTGTTAATTCCACACACAACTTCTATTTGGTGTTGGGAAGTTCTTTGGTCTGATCTGTGGAAATGGGTGTGTTATTGTAGAAATTCCTATCAAAACATGACTTAAAAGGAACTACAGGTCTGTCTGTCCAGCATCCCTAAGTCTGCCGGTGTCTTTAACTCCAGCCTTCATTCTGACCCCTAGTACTAACAAAGGGCAGCACCAGCCTAGGAAAACTGCCACCTAAAGCTGTCCACCTTCATTGAAGGGTGACAAGTTTCATCTGAACTAAGTGAGGTGACAACTTCATAGCATAAACAAAAGACTTTATGAAACAGAGAGCTTATTAATTCTCAAAAAGGTCTTAAAAGCAGGACATACCATGACTAATCAAGCGACCACAGAAATTTCAACTTCTACCAAAGGAATGACACACCAACTCTTGTGAAAGCATTCCCTCTAGAAAGCACAAAATCAACTTTCTTCAAAAAGTATTCCATAAATTTCTACTTTGTTACTGTATGTTTTGGTAACATAAGGCTTCAAAATAACAATTATCAAGTAATCATTATTCCTGTTTGGCACACGGATACAAAGAATATCATTATCCTAATTTTCCCCTTCCACAGAAAACTGTATGTACAGTGTAAAAGAGCCACACTGTATTGTGAGAGCTAGAATAGACGCTGTCTCTAATTCAGACCTAAGAAAAGACTGTATCAAAGAACAAAGGGCTTTTCCCTTGTATAATTAGTCTTGAAGTGGCTAATCTCTGAAAATTTTAGATGTAGGACTATGTATTTTATTCAGTATATTTGCTTCTATATAGTTTTACATGTGAAACAAACATCATTCTATCAGCAATGTTAAAAAAAAAATCAAGCTTTGTCATGGCAGTAGGGAAATGATCCTTCCTTGGTCACTCTTAACCCAAACATTCAATTTCCTTTCAATCTTTCATGGAATTAGACCTTTTACTCATTTGAGAGTACAAGTATTTACAATAATTAGTGCAAATTATTCTGTTCTCATATATTAGTTATTTGCCTTTGTGGATATAAAGTGGTGATCAGTATTTTATCAAAACATGGAATTATGAAAATACTGTGCATATCAGTCTGAAATTTAAAAGATTACATTTTCTAAACTAAACTCTGGGCATTTTTACTTTAAGCAGGAAAAAATTGCTATAGAATTTCTTTTGAAATGTCACTTGATTTTCAATAAAAATTATTTCACACAATGCAGAAAATACGATGTGTTATCCTATAACAATATCTTTACATGTTAAGTCCTAATCTAAAATGTACTTGAACAAAAAAAATCCCTTTTAATAAATTCCAAAATCTTATTTTAACCATTACTGCTCTGCAGCAATAATTCAAGTCCCAACCTGAGAACTAAGAAGGTGACAATTAAATGCCACGGGCTGTATCAACCTTGAACTGAAGACACTTAAGCTTCTTTCCCACTGGCATCAGCTGTAATACATCAGAAATGTGAGCAACCCAAGAAAGTGCCCTGAAATCACAGTACCACCTGCCACAATTTGAAACCTTAAGTCTAAAATCTTTTTTCTAATTATTTTATATAAAAGTTCTATTGCACATTTAATAATTAAAATATCTGCAAACTTGTAGAATGCTCTGTATAAAGGGTTTTGAACTGATTCAGTCAAAAGCTTCCTCACTGCCAGCAAAAATGTTCCTAATGAGAAGAGGGAGCATATCCATGAATACCTGAAGCTGAAGAATAAAAGGTTTCTTATGGTGAGAGCCAATTACAATGCAAGACAAGAAGTTCACAATTTGAAGGAAAAAAGGCTTGAGCAAGTGTAATTCCTCAGCAATCTACTTCAAGGAGATGAACAGGTTTCTTTGACGCATGGAATTTGATGTTACTGCATAGTATATTTTTAAAGGAAAAGAAAAATCAATGCAAACCTAAGTGACCAAGGTCAATCTTATTTTAAAAAATGAAGTTAAAACAAATAATATAGTCTCCTTGATATTTCAACATAGTTTTTACCTTGTGCCATTTCACCACAGAAACTCAATAAATTCCAAGGGGGGAAATACCAACCAAAAACCAAGGATAAGTTCATGCTTCTGACTCTCTTTTCTTTCCTTCTTCTCCCAAATCACTCTCTTCTGACTGGCTACTGCTAAGGACAACAAACTGCCCCTCACTACTGGCTTGGTTTGGTCTACTGGAAGCAGCTATCAACCGACTTTGTTCTTCTAAGTCCTAGTAGAAAAGACAGAAAAGAAACTAAGTTTATTGTTTGCAATCAAATGCAAAACTGTGCATTTAAAATACATACTTGAGAGCCACTCCGATCCTTCTGTCATAAACACTTACGCACAATTCTGGCAACTCACTGAAAACAAAGACTATACGCAACCAGTATGACACCAAAGTGGGTTTTGGCACCATTTTAGAAATCCTATAAAAGCCAACACTGCCCTCTTCTCCGTTTTTATGGCCAAAACCAGTATTCAGACCATTGTTCTCTCTCACAATCTACCACATAAAAGGCCCATAATGGATGACTCCACATCCCCACCCTCCCCCTGTCCTACTTACTTTTTGCTAAATCAGTTTTCACCCAACCTCAGCCTAACCTAGCAAGGAAGCTTCAACTTCAGTGTCATCTTCATCACGTCCTTCTCCTTTGTCCATAAGTCCAATTCATTCCCAATTCCTGCTGATCTGTACTCATTAAGTATCCCACGAATGTCTCCTCTTTTCCAGGGCTACTGCCAATGCCACAGCCCATAACTGGGTCTTACCATCTCACGCATCACCATCTAATGCATTCTCCAGATTTTACTCTGAAACTTGCCTAACTTAAAATTATCCTGTTGGATGGACAATGATTCAACACTCCTGGTAGCATTAAGTATTTATATAAATATATATAAATTCCTGGAGACCAATAAAGATGTCAGCAATGGCAGTTAAGTCTACACACACACACACACGGCCTCTCAAAAGACCCGCTTTTTAGAAACAACCTTCACTGGAATATGGAAATATAAAAGCTCTGGTATGTTTGCTAAACGGCAAGTCAACTACATGTCAGGAACTATAAACATCCTCTCAGAAGACAGATGTCTTCCTTTTCTGCTGTGCTATGAACCATCTGGTTATAAAGTGGCTGAGGAAGCAGAAACAGACTTTCACTTGGAATTTCAAATCTGAAAATCACAGTTCTGAATTAAGGAAATTTCATAAACATTACATCAGAGAAGATCTAGATACTAGGACTACATACCTTTTCAATTTGTTTTTGTTTACTGAGTTCTTTCTGTTGCTTCTCTTTTACCCTCTCTATTTCTTTTTGTTTTTCTGATGCCCGACGATCCTGAAAAATAGATGAATACAACTAATGAATTAAATAATTTTAAATTTTAGACTTTTCAGTATTGCCTTTGTAACCTTTTCATAATTTTTATACTTATATGGAAGCACACTAAAAATTTATATTCTATCTTAGTCACTTGTCCAAATTCCAAATGCTGTGTCAGCAACAGTATCTACTGATAACCTTGCACAGCAAATTCATTTTTTATTTCTTTGCTAATATGAAAGACCTTCTATTACGTTAGGTAATATTCGTAGAGGGGCACTTGGGTGGCTCAGTCCGTTAAGCATCCAACTGCTGATTTTAAGTTCTGGTCATGATCTTACGGAGGTGAGATCGAGTCCTGCATAGGACTCTGCGTGAGATTCTCTCTCTGCCTGTCCCTCTGACCCTCTCCCTGCCTCTGTACTCTACATAAATAAATCTTAGAAAAAAGAACATTCTTGGATAATTTTGGATTCTTACCAGTTCTGCATGCAAAGCTATCTGTTTTGCCAGACCAACAGAATCACAAATCTGAAAGGGGAAAAAGTAGGAAAAACTCAGGCAGTTCTCACATTGAAGTAATAATTTCAAGTATCCAAATACCTGAGGCAACTAGATTTATAACTCATTATAATATACTGCTTCAAACAAAAGCTGATTTAAGAATGTTCTAGCCCCAGGACATCTGGCTCATTTGGTTAAGCGTCCAACTCTTGATTTCAGCTCAGGTCATGATCTCAGGTTTTGAGACTGAGCCCCATGTTGGACTCTTCGGTCAGCGCAGAATATGCTTGAGATTCTCACCCTCTCCCTTTGTCTCTCCCCTGCACTCCTGCTCTTTCTCTCTAAATTTAAAAAAAAAAAAAGTTCCAATCCCCACATGAAGCATCTGTGAGTCTCTGAGTTGCTGCCGCTGGGTCTCACCTCTGTCACACACGTCACCTTCCTGTTATCTCAAATTCCTTACTGAAATGGTAAGGTCTGCAAAGAATGAAGCAAGGAGATGCTGATACTGCTCTAAGCTGAACAGCTGAAAAAGGCTGATTATGGAAATATAATACATTCCCAGAGTAAGTTAATATACTGCATTCCCAGAGCATCAGCTGCCAATGCCCAGGGAAGACACCGTCTATAGTCAGAAGGCCCAAGCTACCTACCAGCTATCTTTAGAGCCAATGGGCTTTGGTCAAACAACTTTATTGGATTAAGCCCAATTTGTTTTCTTCCACAAATCTTACTAAGAACTTCGACTATGATATAGATTTCATAATAGAAACACAATTTGAAAAATCAGGTACCTTTTCCCCCTCGTTGTTTGATTCAAATATATAGCAGACTGATGACAGATTACTTTCACTTCTCCCTCCTGATGTCCGAAGAACAAATCCAAAAAGCCTCTTATTTTCCTGGTGTGTAGCATACAAAACTACACTGGGTAATGGAAACTGCCACAGAAAATATCAGAAGCAAACATGAGATTTTTCAAACACAAGCACTCTTCTGTATGACAAATTCAAGTACTAAGTTACAAAAATATTATAAACAGGGCGCCTGGGTGGCTCAGTGGGTTAAGCCACTGCCTTCGGCTCAGGTCATGATCTCAGGGTCTTGGGATCGAGTCTCGCATCGGGCTCTCTGCTCAGCAGGGAGCCTGCTTCCCTCTCTCTCTCTGCCTGCCTCTCTGTCTACTTGTAATCTCTGTCAAATAAATAAATAAAATCTTTAAAAAATATATATTATAAACAGATCATTAAAGCCAATTTTCTTCTTAACAGAATGGCAATCCAAAAACAAAAACGTCCTATTTGGTTTGGATTACCAGGTAGAACAAGATATTGTTGAATATCAAATTTATTAGTCATTTACACATATTACAAAATCATTCAATAACAAAAATGGTCCATATTATTAAATGATTAAGAGCATGTACTTCCAGCTATTTCAACACAGGTAATTATAAACTCAAATCATGTCCACCTTTTAATTCCTGTTAGTGTTTATTCCTTAACTAGGCAGCACATATCCTACACTAAAAAACTACATATTATACCAGACTGCACTGATCCTTTAAGTATATGGAATGTTTAATTATAAATTTGGGGTGGGGGGAGATGGCCATTGGCTTAATTATAACTTGGCCAATCATAATTAATACCACTATTCAATACATACAGTCAGAATTACTATAATGATACATATGTGTATATGCACAAAGAGATTTCCAATAAAGCTTTAAACATGTAGAACTCACTGTGAGCCTTGTAACTTGTGTCTGTGGATCAATTAACCTATAATTAAAAATTCGGAAAACAAATTTTAATTAGGCTGAAATTAAACATTTTTTCCAACAGTTTTTTAAGGGGGAGGTCATTACTTACTTTAAACAATCACAAGTGACTAATAAATGTGATTCTGTCATACGAAAGATGTTATGGATGGCCCGGGCAGCTAAGATTTGCCGCATTGTTTCATAAACAACATCTGGGTTGTCATCTGATTTCACCTCCATAGAACCAAGGAATCGGACAATAAATAACTGATGAAGAATAGAATCTACAAAAGAACAAGGTACATTACATATCTTTAAATCCCACATTTCCTTTCCTTAAGAATAAAATACATTGTCACTTTTTAAATTTTCTAGTGAAAAATTCAACCTTGTAGAAGTATTTAAAAATTACTCCTAACTACAGTGTTCAAGTTACAGGAAAATTAAGGTCTCTAATTCAAATAGCAAAAGGTCAGGTTTCAACAATTGATGGTTCTGAGTAAAATAAAAATTCCTCGTGGGGCGCCTGGGTGGCTCAGTGGGTTAAGCCTCTGCCTTCAGCTCAGGTCATGCTGGTCTCAGGGTCCTGGGATCGAGCCCCACATCGGGCTCTCTGCTCAGCAGAGAGCCTGCTTCCCTTCCTCTCTCTCTCTCTCTGCCTGCCTCTCTGCCTACTTGTGATCTCTGTCAAACAACTAAATAAAATCTTTAAAAAAAAAAAAAATTCCTCGTACTATTCCTAAAGCTTTTAAATCTGAAATTTATCAAAAATAAATAGTTACTGAGAAAAGAAAAAAAAAAAGTTAATGGTCCAGTACCAGAAGAAAACACCAGCTGCTAGGAAAAGCTTAAAGGATATCTTCTGCATTGAGAATTTGACTCTGAGGTCCCAAGTATGATATTTTATAATTTTAATGAAATCTTTAAGCCTGATTAAGTTCTGCTGCTTTGAGTACTATGAGCAAAAAGAAAACTGTGAAGTAAAGCTACCATTAAAATAGCATACATCAGAACAAATATATACAACAAATTCTTCACACAGTTTACTGCTGAGAATTTTTAAAATATAAGAATACTGCCCAACTGTTTTACCTTCAGTTTCAGATTTTGTACCTCCTCCAGATTCTCCGAATGGATTTGTGCGCCTGAAAAGTTTTTCAAAAATTATGAACCAATGGTCAGTTACCATGAGCCATACGGAAGAAATCTCAATCATTGAAACTGGGTTATAAACTAAGAGTCACAAAAACTTGTACATACATTTTTTAAAAAGCTCTAAAATGCCCCATCCTGTTAAGGAACTACTATCAATGACCACTTTACTTCGACAAAGGCCCCTGCCTTCACACTTAGGAGGCTGAACTCAATGCTGCTGCATTCTAGAAGAGGTAGATGAGCTGACATGTAGACATACATACATATACACCCACATACACCCCAATATCCTATAAACCATGTTGTGAAAGTCTTTGAATTTACAGAGGGACAGAACAGCTGATTTAGCTTCAATTTTAGCTACTTGAGAAAAATGCCAGGGATTTCCTAGGATTGCAAAAACCTCTTTTTAGGTCCTCAAAGTACATACTGTAAGTTAATTATGCTAATTTGAACACTGTTTAGTTTTAAACCTGTATTTCTCAAGGCATACATAACAATGCAGGAAGAAAAGCTAATTAGTGATGAGAGCTACCTCCCTCCTCAGTGTGAGTGGCTCTTGGCACACACACAATGAAGGAAAAAAATACAATTCAAAATAGGTTTTGTAGGGGGTCTGGGTGGCTCAGTGGGTTAAGCCTCTGCCTTTGGTTCGGGTCATGATTTCAGGGTCCTGGGATGGAGCCCCACATCAGGCTCTCTGCTCAGCAGGGAGCCTGCTTCCCCCTCTCTCTGCCTGCCTCTCTGCCTACTTGTGATCTCTGTCAAATAAATAAATAAAAAATCTTAAAAAAAAAATAGGTTTTGTAAGCAAACAGAGAGCTAAGTGGTTTTAAAATAATGTTGGCCTTAAGACAACATGAAATTGGGGTGCCTGGGTGGCTCAGTGGGTTAAAGCCTCTGCCTTCAGCTCAGGTCATGATCCCAGGGTCCTGGGATCGAGCCCCGCACTGGGCTCTCTGCTCGGTGGGGAGCCTGCTTCCCCCTCTCTCTGTCTCTGCCTGCCTCTCTACCCACTTGTGATCTGTCAAATAAATAAAATCTTAAAAAAAAAAGACAACATGAAATTGATCTCTATAACTGATGTCTGAACTTTTATATAAAATGCTAAATATATTTCTGTGATCAAATACAAATTATTTTTTTCTTGGTCACAGCCACTTATATCCAAATTAGTATCAATTTTTAGGCATCCAACCTACTTAAATAAATGATTTGCTGTGATATTTCCTTCATCCCAGAGCCAAAGAAAAATTCTAACAGCTTACACATTTCTCATTATACAACCAGAAGATGTTTTATTAATAATTCATAGCATGATAATGTTTTAGTCTTCCTGGAGATTTCTTATTCTGACCCAAGATGATATTCTTCTTACAAACCTAGAGCACATGTACTACTCTGAATTTCTAAAATAGTGTCATGACCTAAAGATAGGACTGTCAACTTTCTTCTGTAATTTTAAGAGCAAATACCAGAATTCAAAATTAAGTATTTTAGAACTAAATTATCTCCACTTATTTAGCTGAGGCAGAAAACAAAAACCGGCATGATTCTTTCCCGACTATCAAAATTAGGTATAGGAAGTACAGCATAATTGGTACGTATGTGTGAGAGAGGGGTCTCGACTGCAAAAATGGAATCACAAGCCTAACAGACCACAGAACAATATCCCTCTGACATCATTGCCCACCTGCCTCCTTGGCCAAAGGCTTTTGCTTGGCCAGGCTGATCTTCACACACGGGAGAAATGATGTCAAACTGTATTGGAGTATCTGGAGCAACGAGAGAATCTAGAGAAAGGGCAGCCAGATTTGTGGACTCAGATCCTAAGGATCCCGAGCTGCTGGTTCGAGCTGTCAGTGGCCGAGATTGTCTAAACACAGAAGAAAACCAGAAGACATTGCATTAAGTTTTCTCTTTTTGAAACTGAATACGAACTATCAGAAAAGAAAATATAATTTTATAAGTTAAAGAGAGAAGAAATTTCAATAACAGACTTTTCTTTCCAATGACTAAATTCAAAAACATAAATGATCTCAATCTATAGATAAAGCACTAGGGCCATCTGGAATTATTTATTTAGCACTCTAGCTGGTAAATTTACCAACCTGAAAATATACACTTTCTATATTTTGGGGAAACTATTTCATACTAATGTAAGTAGAACTGCTAAAAATCAAAGTGTTTGCTAACACTTTCGAAAGCCCATATGGTTTCAAATAACCCAAAGTCTGGTAACTCACACTGCCGGCCGCAGACTCTCATGCCTCTGCTGGAAAGATGGGGAAGGAGTGACCGCTTCCAAAGCTGACTGATTTACTCGTGCTGCAATTTCCTATTTTGTTTTAAAAAGGACTAGAATTGGTAAAGCAAGGAAACCAAAAGTTTGAATACAGTTGTCAGAATGTTCTTGAGTTACATTTAAAATGCAAATTGGAGTTACTAAAGTAGTTCCAACATTGTCTTAAGATACATAATTAACTTCGTAACATTATAACTTAAGCTTCCTCTTACTTCTTACAGACACAGATCTTTAAATATTTAACTACCAGATTTTTTGGATTAGGTTTGTATTGTTAGCACCTAATACAGCACCTACTATATGGGTACTCAATACATTTGTTAAATAATGAAATTCAGAAGGAGTAGGAATAGCCACAAAATATTTAAATATTTAAATATTTTATGACTATACTGCTGACGTTTTCATGATCTTCCAGAATATATTTATGCCCAGAGAAATTTATGTATTTATTGATGAAGTTATCATGGATATTTTCAGGCCAAAATCTGAAAGAAAACTTCCTGTAAGAGATATTTTTAAACTTACTGTTTTAGTTCAAACACTGGCTACTTTGTAAAATAATATTTACGTTAGAAAAAAAAAATCCTAATACTTTTGCATTTCTTTGTCTTGTAGTTAGCAAAAATATCAAAACAATGCCACAAATTGATCAGAATTTCTTCTCTCATTAAGTACAGATAAAGTAATTCTGAATCATATGGAAAATACTACTTAAAATTTAGAGTTCTGATAGTCTGTGGGAAAAGTAAGATAACCCTGAATTATTCAGACCCAAACACTGTATTCACCATGTATTCCCTAGATATTAACAGGTCATCTAACTTCCGTTTTAATTTTTTGGTGCTCCCAAGTAACGTAACAGAAAGGAAAAGCTAACCCGGCAAGAGATCAAATTAGTGCAAGCAAAAGGCTTCTTTACAATTAGCAACTGGCACTGATTTTCTTAGATTACACTCATAAGATTATAAAACTAATAGAAGTTACTAATATTTTGGAGGTCATGAAATATTGTTTCTTTGGTTCAAAACTTTTCCTAGGCATCTAAATTCTAGGTGTCTTGGCTGGTACCTCAAAGCCATTAATGATAAATACAGAACTCTTTTAAATTGCTCTTCTGTTCACTTGAGCTTAAAACCTGAAAATCATCTTTAATCCATCTCTTTCATCCTTTACATTGGTCAGTTACTAACTGTCCAGCTGATTTCTTTTTACCTCTTTCTACAATGCATTATTTCTCTCTTTTGATTACCACACCTGTTCAGACCCTCAGTTCGTGCCTGAACTAGGATAATGGTCTCCTAGATGTTTCCAGATGCTCCTGTCTAATCAACCAAGATACCAACAACAGTTTTAAGACTTAGAAGGATGGCGGCTTCCTACAGAAATCAGTCCTGCTCTGCCTCAGCTGAAATCATCAGCCCTGCACAGCCCTGCACAGCCCTGGCAGGCAGCCAGGTTTATTGCACAGATGGGCCTACTGAGACTGGCAGAGGTTACATAGCTCCTGACCCAAACCAAGTCTTTTCCCAACTATGCTGCAGCACGGATGCACTTGATTCCTTCCAGAGTTCTCCGCACCCCTGGGTCTTCTATGTGTTTGGATTCACCTAAGCAGCTAAGTTCATCTGGTTGGATGGGCTGGCCACTCAAAGTGTAACTGGCAAAAACCTGGAGTTCAGGCCGCCTCATCTTAGACATACTCTGCGTTTTAACAAGATCCCCATGTGATCTGTATGCACATTTCAGCTATTTTTCTCTAATAAGAACCTTCAACTCCAATTATACTACAGGTTTCATAAACACATCATTTCTACCTTTACGCTTTTGTTTTTATTCTCATAGGAGAATATGTTTTATTCTCACAGGAGAATATATTTTACTCATGTTTTATTTTCAAAACATGGACAAATCTTAGCCAGCTTGGGATCCTACCTTCTCCACAATTGTCTCTAAAACTAAAGTCCACACTGATCTTAACATTCTCAAATCTTAAGCTTTCAGTCATTACCATACACTTTCAACCACATAGTTTTATACACAGTGTTACTTAAACTTTTAGTTTTGTATTTCCATACACACAGGCTCCTGCAGGGCAAAGCCATGGCTTCCTTTTCTTTTGTATGTTTCTCCATGGTGCTCAACCCAAAGCCAAACACAGGACTGATGCCCAGTAAAAATTTGTTAGCTGACCAATTTCAGTTACTTCTGAAATACTTTATCTTTCTAGGAAGACCAAATGCTCTTAGAGGGATACATTAAAGCTACTCATTCAAGGGCAAATTAAAAGACTTTAGAACTTGAGGAATTACAAAATAAATAATAATCACTCATTTTTGCCAGGTCTGGATACCATAAAATATTACCTCTGGGTTTTCACTTAAATATATTTGTTTGGATATGTTATTTATAGTACAGATCCACTGCAAGAGAAAAAAATAGAAAAATATGATTAATATTTTTTTCTATAGTTCTCTTCTAAAAGAATCTTCAATATTTCACTGAATAAAAGTTCCATTAGAAGTAGCATATAATTGGGGCACATGGGTGGCTCATTCAGTTAGGCATCTGCCTTCAGCTCAGGTCATGATCTCAGGGTCCTGGGATCAAGTCACAAGTCAGGCTCCCTGCTCAGTGGGGAGTCCACATCTCCTTCTCCCTCTGCCCCTCCCCTCCACTAGTGCTGTCTAATAAACAAAATCCTTTTTTTTTTTTTTTTAAGATTTTATTTATTTGAGAGGGAGAGGAAGAGAGAATGAGAGGGGAGAGGTCAGTGGCAGAAGCAGACTTCATGGCTCAGTGGGTTAAAGCCTCTGCCTTCGGCTCAGGTCATGATTCTAGGGTCCTGGGATCAAGCCCCGCATCGGGCTCTCTGCTTAGCAGGGAGCCTGCTTCCCCCACTCTCTCTGCCTACTTGTGATCTTTGTCTGTCAAATAAATAAATAAAACTTTAAAAAAAAAAAAAAGAAAAAAAAGCAAGACTCCCTGCTGAGCAGGGAGCCCAATATGGGATTCGATCCTGGGACTCCAGGATCATGACCCGAGCCAAAGGCAGTCGAGGCAGTCACTTAACCAACTGAGCCACCTAGGCCCCCAATAAATAAAATCTTTGGGGGAAAAAAAAAAAAAAAGGCCCAAATTAACTTTATACAAGCAAATAAAAATAAACCAATAATGTTAAGTTACAATTTAATAGTCTATATTTGTCTTTTATATCACTCCCCTCTTCCTCCCTACCAAATAAGATAGTCTGAACTCAGATATCATGATTAACACCAATAAAAAAAGTTAAGAGCTAAATATATTCCTAGTGAATGCATTTTACATACTTCTCTTCTTTCAGATTTATAACTAACATAGAAAATGCTCTCTTCCACATTTTCTGTTTCACACTCGAGGACTCCAGTCCACAATGAGCCTCATTAAACTAATTATCTGGTAAACCTGGCAGAAAGCAGACATTTGTCTACGTTCCTCACAAACCAAAAGCAAGTTTTAAAACCTACTCCTTTGCACAAGAGGTAAATAAAAATAGATCTCTATATAATTTCTAACCTTGTCTTTTACCAACACAGTTACAATACCAGATAAAGTGGCTCAAAATCAACTACAGTATATTTTCATTGAAGAATATTTCTCAGGACAAAGATTCTGAAGCGTCCGTTCTTAGTGGTAACTTACCTTCCATATTTGGTATACTAGAAGTAAAAATGGAGCCAAAAATAAAAGACTCGTGAGGAAGAACAGACACTCCCAAATTTTTGTTTTTCTGTCTTTCATTTCTCCAAGGTTTTAAGCTCTACTTGCTTCCTGCCATGCTATATCAGCTGCCACTATGTTCTTAATGCAGCAAATACGGTCTCAGAAAGTTGATGAGAGAAGGGAATAAATTAAACTATCACCTCATGATACTAACAGCTTGCCAGATAGCAACAGTCACAAGGTCATTTCTGAAGTTCAGCCTTTAAAAAGACAAGACACCAATGATCTCTAAGGTCTCCTTTAACAGGTCTACCTATAAAAGTCTCTGTGAAACATGATGTTTCTTGAGGACAACAGATTTTTATAAAAAAAAATTTTTTTTAATTAACTAGGATTTTCTACATTTTTTTTTAATGTTTTTAAAGATCATATTTATTTGACAGAGAGAGATCAGAAGTAGGCAGAGCAGCAGGCAGAGAGAGAAGGGGAAGCAGGCTCCCCGCCGAGCAGAGAGCCCGATGTGGGGCTCGATCCCAGGACCCTGAGATCATGACCCGAGCCGAGGACAGAGGCTTAACCCACTGAGCCACCCAGGTGCCCCTAAGATTTTCTACATTTCTATCTTAATATTTAGTTACTGAAATATCTTAAAATGTTGCTGAAGAAAATAACTTTAGAAAAAATTTTACCTCCTCATGGTCTTTTTTACTTTCTGCTTGCAAAATTGAAGATCTGAAAAATAAAAAAGAAAGAAGTTTGACCCTCAATTTAAAAAAAGATCTGAGAAAATTTTTTATCTTTAAAAGAAAAAAAAAAAGTACATATAAAACCAACTGGTATCAAAACTAAAAAAAACCCAAAACACACAACCAATCAATATCTTAATTAGGAAAAGGAGACCACCTGGGGCTGGACTCAGATTTTTAACAACTCTTGACTTTGGCTCTCCATGCCAAGATATACCAAAAAAGAAACAGGTGCTGGTTTTCAGAAGACAGCCTATAACAAAGGTACACTGCAAATAAGACAATGCATTTCAACTTTCTGATGTTTATCATATATATTTCAAATGTAAATCAGTGATCCTAACAGAAAACACTAATTGTACTCATTATTTCTCCAAAAATATAGTCAAATAAAAAATTTTAATGTACCGATCACTAACTTCAGGATACTTAGCTTTTCTATAGATGTTATTTTAAGAGTTAAGAGAAAAATTACTAATTTTGAATCACACCGGGAATGTGAAATGGGAAATCATGTTAAGCATTATTAGCAATAAAACTGAGAAAAATGTAAATTCCTGTACTAACATATTAACAATTTGGTAAACACAGGGACTCCCAACATCCAGCATGATAAATGACACAGTCACTGACATTTATTACATATTTAAAGAAGGAATATGAAATTAAACAACTGATAAAAGACAGTGAACCGTAACATCTTAACATGCTGCTTCAGAACAGTAAGAAAGATCAAAAACAGTATTTTAAGCAGGAAAAAACTGCAGATAACTTAAACATCTATCATTAAGAAAAATTTTAGATTATGGTATATATCCTTAGATGGATTACAACGTAGCCATTGTGAAATGTTTTTAATAAGTAGCTACAGATCCAAAGTATATATACAATATTTCCTCAAATATTTTTTAAAAATGTAGTTAAAATAAAAACCGTAAGGCAACAGACCAAAAAATTAATTGTTGCTTCTAGTTAATGAGATTATTCTTTTAATATTCAATACTCCTTTTTTATATTTTTCTGTATTTTCCAAAAATTTGTTGTAAGGGCTACTCTATGGATTCTCAATTAATACAAAGGTAACAGAAGTCTTAAAAATTGCATATACACATTAATGGACTAAATCATTAATTTAACCAGAAATATTTAACATTTAAAAATGAGTGTTTGCACTTACTACATGTCAGGCACAATAATATGTTAGACTTCTCTTCTGTATAATAATTTACAAAGTAGGGATTATGACTCACACACCCCCATTTCACATGTGAAAAAACAGAGGTTATGTAACTTATCTAAGACCACACAGTAAGTAGCAGATCATGAATTTGAATTTTCTGACCCCAGGGTTAGGGCTCTTTCCGCTGTGTTGCCTTCCCCCACATGGAGCAAAATTTTCAGTGAACAGTATCCTAACATGAAATCACAGGTTTTTACCATTTGCCCTTGTTTTAACAATCTCAAAATACTAAGACTTCATTTAACCAAGTCAGAAAGGAAAATTCATCTCATTTCTACATAATTAAAAAAGAAAATTATCTTAATACATAATAAGCCTAAAGTGGCTATAAAATATCTGAATGAGAAGGAATTATTATGCATTTCAGTAATTTACAATACGACAGACTGTATTAACACTAGGAAAAAATACTAACTTTTTTCCATCAAAGGAAGTGATCTGAAAACAGTACCGCCTGTCTTCACAGTCCACAGCCATTACTGAGCAGTTGTCAATGTCCATGGCCAGGCCACCGGCCACATCCCCACGCGCCTGACTCATTAAGTTTCCACCCTGCGTGAAGTAAAACTGTCTGTCCCAGGTAGATGACACCAAGCCTGTTTTACTAAATGAAGAAAGTACATTCACTCTTTAATGACAACACATCTGAAATCTCATCATAAGCCAGACACAAGATAAAGCACATCACAAAGAACCAGCTTGCAAAAAGGCACAAAGGTGCCTAGAAAATATATATTTTTCAATCTCTAAAATAAATTCACGTACGCTGAGCCACTTTTGTGTTTGTGTATTTCCAAAAAAAAAGCTGGAAGGTATCAAACTGCAACTGTTACAATGATGCTCCATAAATTATAGTTCAAGTTTCAGGAGAAGAAATTCAAACGAAAAGAATTCATTTTACTTCTAAGGTGAACTTGCTTTATCCTATCTTTAGATAAAAACTTTTAGAAGTTGGGGCACCTGGATGGCTCAGTCGTTGAGCTCTGCCTTCAGTTCAGGTCATGATCTCAGGGTCCTGGAATCGAGCCCCACGCCAGGCTCTCTGCTCAGCAGGGAGTCTGCTTCTCCCTCTCCCATGCCCCCTGCTTGTATTCCCTTTCTGTCAAATAAATAAATAAAATTTTCAAAAAAAAATTTTTTTTAAACTTTTAAAAGTTGACCTGATGGTATAATTACATTTTAAAGTATAATAAAAATGATTTAAAAAAAAAAAGATTTTATTTATTTGACAGAGAGACACAGCGAGAGGGAACACAAGCAGGGGGAATAGGAGTGGGAGAGGGAGAAGCAGACTTCCCAGTGAGCACAGAGCCCAATGTGGGGCTCGATCCCAAGACCCTGGGATCATGACCCAAGCAAATGGCAGATGCCTAACGACTGAGCCACCCAGGCACCCCATAAAAAATGGTATTTAATAGCATTCATGAAATGCTAGATTTATTTAAACTCAAATTCATCTTACTTTAAAAATAATTCTAAATTATTCAATAAATATCTAAACAGAATTATACTTCTGAAAATTATTCATGTATTCCACCTCTCAAAAAGTTGACAAAAAACATGAATACCGCTAACTAAAAAGATTCAACCTTCAGTAAAACAAAATAATTTAGCAAACAATATCAATCATACATTATATTCACTTGATACTACCTTATATGATATACAACATACGAAAATAACTATAGTTTTCTTACTTCCTAGCATTAAGGTATCCAGCCTTCCGGGTTAAGTTTCGATTAACAGGAAATTTCATGGGATCTGGGTCAGGCACATATAAGGGGTCACTGGCTACTTCCAAATCTTCTATTGTCTGCTGCATGGTCTCGACATCATTGTCCATTTCCCTACGAACGCTAACACAGAAAACATATTATTTACTACCAACCACAACAAAGAACTCCTTACCAATCATGTTTATCTATATATTTGCTTTGCATATCTTTTCTTAAAGACAGCAACAATGGCACAGGTGGTTAAAATAACATGAACGCATGATGAAATAGCTTTACATTTTATTTGGAAGTAGGTATTATGGAAATAATACCAAGTTAAAAAATGTATGAAGCCACACTGAATACCCAACTTTGGAATAATTTTCAAAGTGTCCTGCATATCCCAGACTGACCACATCACTGATCAGAATTTTGAACCTGCTTAGAACTGCTTGCTTTCGGGGCACCTGGGTGGCTCAGATGGTTAAGCCTCTGCCTTCGGCTCAGGTCATGATCCCAGGGTCCTGGGATCGAGCCCGGCATGGGCTCCCTGCTCATCAGGGAATCCACTTCTCCCTCTCTCTCCCCACTGTCCGCCCTGCTTGTGTTCTCTCACTCTATCAAATAAATAAATAAAATATTTAAAAAAAAAACAACAAAAACAAAACTGCTTGCCCTCTTTAAGTTTTCATGGCTTAGAAAGCAAGATTTATTTAGTAACTCCCATCTGTCCCCCACAGTTCAGGTAATTGTGAAGATAATGAGCTTACAGATAATTACTATTATGTGTCTGTTATACACAGACATAAAACCTAGGTTAGAATAAAATATCATCAAACTTGACAGAGCTATGAAATTCAGAGCTCAGATTCTGTGGAAAAGATGGTGAAAAATCAAGAAGTATCCGTGAGCCATGTGAGACACAGTCTCATGGCAAGGAAAACAGCCCCTCAGGAAATTCAACGCTAAATATTTTTAGATTATGGCATTTAGTTGTTAACTTATTCCCATAACTTCATTTTCAATTTTAAGGAAGAAAGTACTTACTTCTGTACACTTGTTCCAATATTAGTCAAGAATTCTTCCAGCTGTTCATTGAGATTTTCAGAACCCATCTTAAAGAAACTTATCTGGGGCAAGAAGGTGTGTGAGTGGGAGGATGAACAACAGAAACATACACATACAAGAAACACAGTGAATCATACAAACAATCTCCAAGATACATGGTAAGGTAAAGAACAAAGGAGTATTCCCATTTGTGCACTAGTTAACAATGACTTCTACTGGGCTTAGAATCATTGAAGAAACCAGACTTCAATTTCAGTGTATATCTTTGTAAGCAATTATAAAATTAGAAAATGTTAAAATATATATAATAAGTTATATAAACTCTTACGTTTATACAAAGATATATGTTATATTGAGGAATAATAAGCACTCATATTTGAAGGAATATTCGAATTTCTTTAAACTCTTAATTTTTAGGGGTGTGCCATCACATATTACCCAAATTCACTTTTCTAGCCTCCTTCCTGATGCAAACCTCTTGGGACACTTTGGATCTCATCTATTATTTTTACCTCAGGAGGTATGCAAGGAACAGGAAACAAACTCAAACTTGCCCATTCTCTTTCAAATCTATTCCAAAGTCAGAGTGAATGGAAATTCCATCAGTAGGAGTAACTCCAGAATTCATTCAGCTTTCTGTTCCCTGTCCCCTACCTGTGATGGACAAGACCTAAATACTAAGTGTTTTCATTTACCCTAAAGTATGTGAAATCTTCATTTGCAAGGAAAACCATCCTAACTTTCTCAAAATAGCATTCTGATGACATTTTAAATTACTTTTGAAAACAGAGATCCAAATAGAATATTTTGACCTTAGTTTGTAATACGCTTACACTTCACATAAATATCAAACTTAACATAGAGTTTCTAGGACAGTTATGATCCAAAACACAGTGCAGTCAGTATTTACCTGAGCTTGCATGTACCCAAGCAGAGGTTCTAACAGTGCTATTTTCTTTTTGTATTGAAGAGTATTTAATGCACAAAAATAATGCATCATGGTCTGGTGTTGTTTTTTTCTCGAAGTGTAGACATCTTCTGTTACTTCATACTTTACCTTTGAGTAAAAACATTAAAAATACTATTATTTCCTTAATTGTGTAATTATCTTTAATTATCTTTAGTAGCGGCTGTAGGGAAGAGCCCATCCAAGGAAAAATGTGTATCAACTATGCATCTTTATTTACTGAGATAGTAGAAATCCTATAAAATACCAACCACTTCATCTTAAAATGCACATTTAAAGCAGAATTCTGCACATAACTAAGAATGATACAATAACTGAACTAAGTGTGGCAGAGTCTACCACACAGATCAAAGGCAGATAGGGGTTTGGTATTAGCTTTGTCATTAGGTTTTTGTTCGTTTGTTTTTTAGTCATTAGTTTTTGATCTTGGTCAGTTCACAGCATACTTCTCTTCTGGTTCTCTCCTGCTGTTCCTCCTCTCTTGTACTTGTTTTCTTTCACCCACACTTAAAATACTTGTGCTCCTTTAAGTTCTTATATTCAGACAATATTTATTGAGCACCTATTATGTAATATGCATTAGGCTCTTCTCACTTCTTGCTTTCTTTAGAATACCAAATCCAGTACTAAGAATATTCCAATACACCAATGACTCCCAAATTTTTAACTCTCACCTTTCACTTTTTTTGTAATTTTATTTATTTGAGAGAGAGAGAGAGAAAGCACAGGCAGGGAGAGGGAGAAGCAGACTCCCCACTGAGTGGAGAGCCTGACGCAGGTCTTGATCCCAGGATTCTGGGATCATGACCTGAGCAGAAGGCAGACGCCCAACTGACTGAGCCATCCAGACAGCCCTTGTCCTTCACTCTCCTAAGTGTCAGAGGAAGCACATTTCCAGGTGGGTTTCTCTCTATGTGTGTGTGTATGTGCACTCATGCACAAATGTGTGTTTAAATGTGCTGGACATGTACAAAACTGAATACAGTACCTTCCCCTCAAAGCCTCTGTTTATTAGCTTTTTATTATTTTTAAAGATATTTGTATTTATTTGAGAATAAGAGCGAGTGGTGGGGAGGGGCAAAGGAAGGAGAAAGAGAAGCAGACTCCACGCTGAGTGAGGAGCCTAATGCAGGGCTCAATCCCAGGACCCCAGGATCACGACCTGAGCTGAAGGCAGACACTTCATCAACGGAGCCATCTAGGTGCCCCTGCTTCTTAGCTCTCCTAATTACTCCAAGGTCTACCCCATCATCCAAGAATCATAGGATTCCTTTTTAATTCTTCCTCCTACCATGTCATGTCGATTCTACTTATAAAATATTATCCAAAAGTATTCCTTCCTCTACACTTTCAACAATTACCTGAGGCTCTCCTAATGTCTTTGCAAACTATTCTGGTACCTTTTCAGTTGGATTCCCTCAGTCCGGTACCCTTCACATTTCCATTAGATTTTTATTGTATAACACAATTGCATGGTGTTATCCACTTATAATCCTTTAAGTAGGATTCCTTTAAACAGGCTGCCCAGTCCCTCTAACTTTAACTTCAAAGTCACTGACAGAGTAATCTGGCTCTAAACTACTTTCTTGTCATCTCTGCCATACCTCCCCAAATATATCCTATGCTCCAGACACACACCATTATCGTAATAATTATTGCTAGAATTCTAAAAACATGCTACAAGCCAGGTGCCCTGCATGTATTATCACATTTCATCATCACAACTACTGAGTTTTTTTGATAGAGAAATAAAGGCTTGAAATTAAGTAACCAGAGTGTGACCTCAGGCAAGTAAGTGGCAAAGCGGAGATTTGTCCTCCAACAGTGCAACTCCAGAGCCCATGCTCTTAAGCTTTACATTTTCCGGTGTCTACCATGTGCTTTTGCAAAGACTGTTTTTCTTCCAGGAATGCCCACTCCTTAACCCTAAACCAGAGACGTTCACTCATCCTAAATGCAAAGAGTACCTCCTAAAAGTATAGCCTTTCCCAATTACCAAAGTTAACTGCTGCTTTGTTTGTGCTCTCCCAACATTTTGTTAAGACTGCTATTACAGTACTCAACTCAGTGTTAATTCACGTGTGCTCCTCACTCTTGTATGCTGGCATCTACTCTAGCTGCATGACTTCATACAGGAAGTCTTTGACTAAGTGTGTATTATTCACTCCCTGAGGCTAGGAGTGGAGCCTTTTCACACTATTACCCCATGGTACCCAAAATAGAGTAGATGCTCAAAATTTTTTCAAATCAAACAAAATTGGTAAAAGAATGTTTTTTAAACCAACTGGAATAACAACAAAAAACCTGGAACAGCCAGAAGCAATGCAAAATATAATAAAATTCATAACTAGACCCTTTAACTATTTCCCTAAGGCAAAGTAGCAAAGTAATAGAGATCTCAAAATGTGTGTATTTTATTAATATTTGCACCAAGTAATCAGTGAACTAAAATTAGAGATGGAAAGCTCTTTGTACTGGACTTTGTGAGAAACTTTCCATTTACTGGGTCACAGCAGCTGTTGCACAGTAAATTATATACCTAGTCGTGGATTCCCCCAAGTGATCACTGTGCCCCTACCAGCAGCTGTAGCCAAGGCCGCAGACACCAACACAGAGCACCTGCAAACATCTAGTGAAGGTCTCATGATCAAACCTGGGATTAGGCACTGAGGAAGGAAAGAGTTTAAGGAGCAGCTAGATGAACTTGTTAATTACTTTGTTTCTGTTCTTTACTCAAATGCATTTCTCCTAAAATAGAGTGAAAGATTTCTGGATTTCACTCCTTGGAGAAGGACCAAAAACTATATATATAGATATATAGATATATAGTGAGATAGATATATATAGGTATCTATATATATCTCACTATATATATATATAGATATCTCACTATCTCACTATATATATATATATAGGTATCTATATATATCTATCTCACTATATATCTATATAGTGAGAAGGTCCTTATAACAGAATTTCATTCAATTATGTATGCAACAATTCAACTTTTTAACCACTTTATCTCAGAAAACACTTCTGAATACATACATGGTCAAATAAAAACAGAACACATACAATGTTATCAAAACACAAAGCAAAAGGAGGCAATGTTATATACTGAGCATGAATTATACTTTTGGAATAGTTCTGTTTACTTATCAAATTTTGTCAGCAGAAAAATATTTTGTTCAAAGAGACAATTATTAATTGCCTGATAATTATAAGAAAGGCTTTGAAGCAACTAGAAGGAAAGAATAAACTAAGGGCAATGCAGTAAAACATACAAAGTAACTGTAGGCTACTGTTTTTAAACAGAAAAAAAATAGTAAAAAAAAGCTAATGAAACAATCGTGACACTAAAGGAGTATATAAGTATGTATCACACCTTGTCATTTTCTCTTTTTTTTGACAACCGGCTATATCTGTTAATTGCAGCATCATGATCTGGAAAACAGAAATAACTATTAACAATAATACAACAGTACTTTACCAAACTTATAAATGCTTTAAATAGTCTTTACATGTGCATCTTCCAGCAAACATGCTAAAGCAAGAATTCTCAAAATAAAATAAAAATTCTTTAACACATACTTCACTCCACCCAAATGTTCCCATAGTCAAATTTCCCATGAAGTATCTTTCTACTTATTAAATTGGTTAAAAAAAATCAATTCTAAGGAGACTGTACTCCACTAAAAGTTTTTTAAAGTATTTTACTTTTTTTTTAAAAAGATTTTATTATTTATTTGAGAGACAGAGTGAGAAAGCACAAGGAAGATGAGTGGCAGAGGAAGAGGGAGAAGCAGGCTCCCCACTGAGCAGGGAGCCCAATGCAGGACTTGATCCCAGGACCCTGAATTCATGACCTGAGCCAAAGGCGGATGTTTAACCAACTGAGCCACCCAGGTGTCCCAAAAACTATTTTTTAGTACAAAAATAGCAAATGTTCACTAAAGAAAATTTTGGAATATACAAGAAAACAAGGGAATATATCATATCAACTCCTCTGGTATTATTAATATAGCAAACCACAAGATTTGATTTAGTTTCCATTTAAATTTTTCCTGTAGCATAAACTTAGTAAAACTTAAAAATAGCACTGATTTACATAATGTTCACTTACACTTTAAATTAGGTTCATTTTTTTCAATTATTACATAGAATATAGCCACAGTTTTATGTTGATAAATGCATCACTGTGAAAAAGAACTGTATTCTCAACTTACCATTACTAGCAATCTGAAACACTTCCTTTAACGTCAGTATTTCTGGAAAAGTTCAAGAATAGTTTCAATTTAGCATATTTATGAAATATCTAAAATTTTGTGTAGAAAACAGTAACTCCCATTTAAGCTAAACTCAAACTCCAAATAATATTTCATACTTCAACATTCAAAGTGAAAAAGTTCTGTGTTTTAGCTCGTCTATGAAACATTCATTATCTTTAACAACAATTACACCACCAGATCTACTTGCCACAAATTAATAATGTGACACAAAAATTTAAAATCATTGCAAATTCTAAGATATGCAAATATTCTGACTTAGTACCAACATCCAACTTCTTATTTTTGATACACACTCTAGTAAGTTCAAGTGCTGAATCCGAGAAAAAAGAAAAATTAGTAAGATATGACATTCAGACTAAGAGAAAAGGGAACTTGTTTCTTGACCTTGGAAATGACCATCCTTGAGAATTATCACCATAAATACTAACTCCTTTTCTAAAATACATTTGTCTTTATTCCATGCGTGATTTGAATACTTTACCATCCACTGATACATTAGTTCAATGTTTTTATTCTCTCTACATATTCAGTAAATAAGTGTGTATGACTGAGACTGTAAATTATGAGAAAGCAGAGCCAATTCTATAAAACTCTCATTTTATCACCTAATAATCCTAAACAGGGAAAAAAAATCCACCACAAACTACTAAGTCATGGGGTTGCCAGACGTGCCAGTACCCCTACCTCCCACCATTGCAGTCCCTAAACACACCTCCTGTGCCACTGTCACAGGTCAGGCGTTGGTCATAGCTCACTGGGCTCTCACAACTTCCTAATCCATTTTCCTGGACATCAAATCCACTCTATTCGGGGCACCTGGGTGGCTCAGCGGGTTAAAGCCTCTGCCTTCGGCTCAGGTCATGATCCCAGGGTCCTGGGATCGAGCCCCACATCGGGCTCTCTGCTCGGCGGGGAGCCTGCTTCCCCCACTCTCTCTCTGCCTGTCTCTCTGCCTACTTGTGATCTCTGTCTGTCAAATAAATAAATTAAAAAAAATCTTTAAAAAAAAATTAAAAAAAAATCCACTCTATTCTAACCTCCAAAACCAAAGGAATTGGATCTACTTCTTCAAGGCCTCCATTGGCTTCTTTGCTTATAAACTTAAGTCCAACATCTTCAGCATGATCTAGTTCCAGATTCGTCTCCTGTCACACCCCAACACATCCAACATTGCAACCACATGGAGTTTCTTGTCAACCACAAGACACCTATTTCTATAACCCATACCTTTGTGCTTTCTAGTCTGTCTAATGAACAATGACTCTCTTCTCCTTGCAAATGCCTCTTCACTGTTCAATGCTCATGTCACATCCTTAGTGACACCTTACTGACACCCTCTTCTGAGCCCCCATAGCACCTTGCTCATTCCCTAATTATTAGAGAATTAGCTTAATTACCTACTTTACCCATCTCCTTCTCGAGGCTTTCTTGACAGAAGACAACTGTATTCATATCAATATTCTACTGTATCTAGTTTAACATCTAGCAGGAGCTTCTATAAATATCCAGTGATACATTAAAGTGGTACAAGCTGTAGTTAGAAATGGTTAAGGTATACAGTAATATGCACTTTACAAGTATTGATCTGAGGGGTAATGGAAGTAGACATAAACTTGACTTCATTACCTTTTAGATCTCTTTCTTTAAACTGGGTAATGGGAAACATCATGGCATCAGCAAGCTGTGTTGAAAGTACTGCATGACAAGAGCTAAGCTAGTAAAAGGAAGACCAAAATGGCTGAATAAATAACTATACAGAGATATTTAGCCAGTGTTTCTAAATTAAACAAAATCTAATATACAGGTGGTGATACATTTTACATAAGAGAACATTCAAAATTATGTGATATAGTCCAAAATACTATACAGTAAAAAAAAAAAAAAGTCCATTTAAAACTCTTAGAAAAAAAACATAGGATAACCTAGGATTTGGCAATGGCTCTTACATATGACACCAAAGCACAAGCAACTAAAGAAAATATAAATTGGACTTCATCAAAATTAAAAACTTTGGGCAAAGGATATATCAAGAAAGTAAAAACACAGCCTGCAGAAAGGGGGAAAATATTTGCCAGTCACATATTGAGAATGAACTTGTATCTAGAATAAGGAAGCCTTAAACTCAGTAATAAAAGATAAACCACTCAAGTGAAAAATGGGCAAAGTACTGAATCAAGCACTTCACCCCTGCCCACAGTGCTGCCTTCTGCAGTTTCAGTTACCCAGGGTCAACTGCCGTCCCAAGGCAGATGATCCTCCTTCGGACATAGTGTCAGAAGGCCAATAGAAGCCTAACGGGACCTTGGAGTGCTTCCATCATTCAACTCACTGCATCTCATCATGCAGGCATTCTATCATCTCACATCACCACAAGAAGGGTTGAGTACAGCACCGTAATATATTTTGCAAGAGAGAGAGAGACACACACCACATTAACATAACTTTTATTATGGTATAATGTTATAATTCTATTTTATTAGTATTTATTCTCTCATTTTGTTAAACCTACTGTGCCTATTTTATAAATTACTCTTTATCACATGTGTGTGTATGTATAGGGAAACACATTATATATGGTTCCATACTATCCATGGTTTCAGGTAACCACTTGAGGCGGGGGGGGGGGGGGCGAAAGTATCACCTGTGGATGCGGAGGGGGGTACTATCATAGACATTTCTTTGAAGATATACAAATGGCCAATAAGCATAGAAAAAGGTCCTCAACACCATTAGTCAACAGGAAAATGCACATAAAAACTACAATGATACACTACTTCATACCTGCTTAGATGGTTATAATAAAAATATAAATGAAAATAGAAGGGTTCGGGGCGCCTGGGTGGCTCAGTGGGTTAAGCCTCTGCCTTCAGCTGTCATGATCTCAGGGTCTTGGGATCGAGCCCCATATCGGGCTCTCTGCACAGCAGGGAGCCTGCTTCACCCTCTCTCTCTGCCTGCCTCTCTGCCTACTTGTGATCTCTCTCTCTCTCTGTCAAATAAATAAATAAATATTTTTTAAAAAATAGTAAGTGTTCGTGAGGACGTGGAAAAACTGGAACCCTCCATTACTGGTGGGAATGTAAAAGTGTATAGGACCTGTGGAAAACAATCTGACTCAAAAAGCTAAATACAAAATTACTGTATGACCCAGCAATTCCACTCCTGATTATATACCCCAAAGAAACTGAATATTGGTGTTCAAGAAAAAAATAAAACAAAAACCTAGATACAAACCCTCACTGTAGCACTATTCCCACTGGCCAAAAGGCATAAAACAACTCAACTGTCCATCAACTATCAATGGATAAATAAAAAGTGGTATACTCATATGATGGAATTTTATTCACCTTCTGATACATGCTACAACACAGACAAACCTTGAAAACATTATACTAAAGAAGATAGACACAAAAATCCACAAACTGTGTAAGTCCATTTATATGAAATATCCAAAGCAGGCAAATCTATACAGATAGAAAATAGATTTGTGGTTGCCAGGAGCTGAAGGGAGACGAAGTAGGGAGTGACTACTTAATGGGAATAGGGTTTCCTTTGGGATGATGATGAAAATGTTCTGGAACATCAGCGGTGAGGGCTGCACAGCATTGTGAGTGTATAAATGTAACCAGGGAGACATTTTATGTTATGTATATTTTACCAGAATAAAAATATTCCATTTCCTATAAATATTTCTGTATATTGCTCTACTATGACAATATTTTGCTATAATGAGTTATTAAAATATTTCAAAAAACTACTTTTTCAGTTACGGGACTAGAAAAGACAGATCTAATGGCTCATATGAAAAGAAGAGCTTTCATTGCACTAGTTGAGAACAGTAACGGACTCCCCAAATAGCTCTCACTGCCCCTCTTCCTCCTACGAACATCCTACCATTTAGTTTATTAATCCTTCCACCCCAGTCAATATCAGCCCTTAATTTCTCTAACCAGTCATCAGAACAAATCATTTAAAAAAAGACCCAGAAGTGGGGTGCCTGGGTGGCTCAGTGGATTAAGCCTCTGCCTTCAGCTCAGGTCATGATCCCAGGGTCCTAGGATCGAGCCCTGCATTGGGCTCTCTGCTCAGCAGGGAGCCTGCCTCTCTGCCTACTTGTGATCTCTGTCAAATAAATAAATAAGATCTTTAAAAAAAAAAAAAAAAAAGAACCAGAACTTAGCTATACCTCATAGCTTTTTTATTTAAGATTTCATTTATTATTTAACAGACAGAGATCACAAGTAGGCAGAGAGGCAGGCAGAGAGACAGATGGAAGCAGGCTCCCTGCTGAGCAGAGGGCCTGATGTGGGGCTCGATCCTAGGACCATGAGATCATGACCTGAGCCAAAGGCAGAGGCTTAACCCACTGAGCCACCCAGGTGCCCCTATATCTCATAGTTTAACCTTTTTTTGGGGGGGGGCAGAGAGAGAGAGAAAACAAGTAGGCAGAGAGGCAGGCAGAGAGAAAGGGAAGAGAGCCAAAGCATCTCCGCCAAGCAGAGAGCCCGATGTGGAGCTTGATCCCAGGACCCTGAGATCATGACCTGAGCTGAAGGCAGAGGCTTAACCCACTGAGCCACCCAGACACCCCTTTTTTTTTTTTTTTAGTTTTATTTATTTATTTGTCAGAGAGAGAGAGAAAGAGAGAGAACAGGCAGGCAGAAGCAGAGGAAGAAGCAGGCTTCCAACTGAGCAAGGAGCCCAACATGGGAGTTCATGACCTGAGCTGAAGGCAGACAGATGCTTAACCGACTGAGCCACCCAGGCGTCCCTCGTAGTTGAACTCTTACCTCCCTGCCTACATCAGATAAGAGTGTAAGGTTGAATGACACAGACTAAGAGGGGAGAGAGCACGTCTCTAGGCTCATCCCCAAAAACAATTTGTTTTAACCAAACAAAGTACTATTTTTATGAGACATCCACTAAGATATGAGACCAACACCAATATGGAAATAAGGTCCTTCTTTTTTTAAAGATTTTATTTATTTATTTGAGAGAGAGAGAGAGAGAGCATGAGAAGGGGGAGGGCCAGAAGGAGAAGCAGACTTCCTGCCGAGCATGGAGCCTGATACAGAACTCGATCCTGGGACCCCAGGATCATGACCCGAGCTGAAGGCAGTTGCTCAACCAACTGAGCCACCCAGGTGTCCCAATAAGATCCTTCTTTAATTATAGAGATTTGCTCATATAATCATAATAATACAAGTTCCCAATAAAAGCTAAACTTGAATAATTTAATAATAAGACCACTTACTCAAGCAAAATAAGTACTTACCTCATCTATAACTTTTGAAAACTGTTGCAAAGTAGAGCTCATAACTTCATCATCACCCCCCAAAGGAAAACGCTAAAAAAAAAGAGAAACAGAGATGAGGTAATGTCCAGGGCTGTAGGTCTTCTGTGAATGATGCTGTAATTTACATTTTTTAAATTTTTTAATAATTTTTTATTTTTTATTAACATATAATGTATTATTAGCCCCAGGGGTACAGGTCTGTGAATTGCCAGGTTTACATACTTCACAGCACTCACCACAGCACATACCCTCCCCAGTGTCCATAACCCAACCACCCTCTCCCTACCCCCCTACCCCCAGCAACCCTGTTTGTTTTGTGGGATTAAGAGTCTCTTATGATTTGTCTCCCTCCTGATCCCATCTTGTTTCGTTTTTTCCTTCCCTACCCCCCAAAACCCCACGTTGCTTCTCCAATTCTTCATATCAGGGTGTAATTTACATTTTTAAAAATAGCTGACCCTCAAAAAAAAAAAAATAGCTGACCCTCAAAACACATAGGAGTTAGAAGTGCTGACCCGCACACATAACTTTTAACTTTCCCCAAATTTAACTTACAGCTGACTGTTGACAGGAGCCTTATCAATAATGTAAACAGTTAACACATATTTCATATATTACATGTATTATGTACTGTATTTTCATAATCTTTTAGAGAAAAGTGTTAAGAAAATCATAGGAAGAAAAAATATATTTACTGTACTGTATCCAAAAAAAACCACCCATGAATAAGTGGACCCATTCAGTTCAAACCCATGTTGTTGTATTTTTTTAAGATTTTATTCATTTGAGAGAGAGAAAGAGAGCGAGCAAGCACGAAAAAGGGGGGGGGTCAGCGGGAGAAGAACACTCCGAGGAGGGAGCCTGATGCATAACTAGATCCCAGGACTCCAGGATCATGACCCCAGCCAAAGGCACTCGCTCAACCAACTGAGCCACATAGGCACCCCTCAAACCCATGTTAAGGATTGACTGAAACTTTTACAAATTTCCAAAATTTTGAATACACTCTAAAAATGTCACTTAATAAAAGAGTGTAATTTGTACAATTAGTATACATTACTTAAAATGTTTGCTAAGCAACTGATTAACATAGTATTATAGGAATGCATACCATACTAGGAGTTCAAAGATTTGTTTCGTTCTAATTCCTCCAATAACCAGCTATAAAATGAGTAAGCCTCAGTTTCCTTATTTGTAAGAAGAGGAGAAGTCAATTAAATAACTTCTACCTAAGATTAATTAAAAGGAGCTATAATGGAATTTCAACAGCATATCAAAATTATTTTCTATGAATTCAAAAAAGCTTAGGATTCTTGATGAGCAATTCTATTTATACAGATACTTTATCACTGCATAGTTTCAATTAGGCTTTTAAAATTTTCACATACGATACCTGTTTTTCATATTCTTTTAAAAGCTTTGAAGTCAGGTGTGTTGCTGCACTTAATTCATTCTGTGGGGGAAAAATCAGCATTCAAATTAACACAATATTACTGATTAAGAAAAAGCTTTAGTTGAAGATACCTACACCACTTTTGTTTTTTACTTAATATAAGTGCTATATAACGCGTTCTCTAAACCCCTCATTAAATCACTGGAGAGGGAACTACCATTAAAGCACTTTAAAGGGAAACTCAAACCATTAAACAGATACCATCAAGGAACTCAGCAGTGTTTTCTAGGTGTACTTTTTTTTTTTTTAGCTAATAAAACTCAGCATTAAATATTGTTAAAGCTTTAAAGTTAGAAGTAAACTGTATATAATCTTAGCAAAATCTTAAGAGATTCTACATTAATGACAAATTATTCCTCTCTCTAGGTGCTGAAACTATACCAATACATTTAACAACATATAACCAAACTATGGTTAGCCTAGTCATGTAATACAGCAACACAGAAATATGAAGGTATTACTTTCAAGTTTTTTTTCTAGCGATGAATATAATGACAAAATTAACATTTCTTTTACACAGTAATCTCTGTAGTCAGGAGTCAAATCTTGAGAGACCAATTGCAAGGAAAAAAATTTAAAACTATCCCACAACTTTTTAATTCATTTTTTAAAAGAGTTTTACCTACAGAGGGAGAAAGTGTACAGGCACATGACTTGGAGGAGGGGCAGAAGAAAAGAAAGAATCCCAAGCAGACTTGGAGCTGAGCACAGAGCCTGATGTGGGGGCATGACTTCACAACCCTGAGATCATAAGCTGAGCCAAAATTAAGAGTTGGACCCTTAACTGACTGAGCCACCTGGGCGCCCCTCAGAGCAACTTTTTAGTACATAATGAAAATGTGAGTCCAGAAAGGAGGTAAAATGAGATGGGGGCGGGGGGACTTGTACACCTAATTAATCCCTAAGAAAGCTTATCATAGAACCCAGGTTGCTGGTAAGGCTTATAATTAAGTTACATAAACACAGCTTCAAATCTTAAACCTGCTCAACAAAACAATCTAGTCATCTCCTTAAATTCATCTCCCAGTACCCAGAGTTACATCCAATTTTTATTATCTGCTTCTCACTAAACATAAACTACTTTCAATCCTTTACTCAAAAAGGGGGAAATGTTCCGTAAGATTAAAAGCACAATTAGGGAAAACCCTGGTGACCATATGGGGTTTTCAGTCAAATCTTAGGCAAAGATCATGATCAGTAAGTTTCAGTAAGAAAGTTCTTACTATGTCTGGGTAAAAAGGGGAAGATGCTTCAATCTTTATCTCTTCTGTAGCATTGCAAAGTACACACTAGTAATTGGAAAGTGAGCTTTAATACAAAATACTTAAAAGTTCATGCATCCAAAAAAAAAAAAAGTTCATGCATCCACTCAACAAATATTACTATGAGCCCAGGATAGAGCTAGGCACCAGTAATCAAGGCAGGCACTAGCTATGTCTGTCCTCACAGGCTTCAAGAGTCATTAAAAAAAAGCAGCTAGCCTTTAGGCCTTTACCTGTGCATCATAAATCCGCAGCATAGCTTGATACAACTGGTTCATATAGTTGGAAATAGCTGTAGCATCTTCTTCAAATACACCCAGTAAAGACCTTGTCTGTATAAAATAAAAGCAGTAAGTTTACATTAACCATTATATAAATCAAATAGAAAATTATTTTCTGAAGAAAGGAAAAATCCTAGGATATTGGGGCTCTAAGAATTCTGAGTCTTAACCTATTTTCTCTTTTGATAGTAATGCCAAGATGCTGGGGTTCTTTGTTCTCAATTTCACTTCACTAAAATGGAGGGATTTTCCAACTACATCACACAAAATTTATTTTTATTTATTTGTTTAGGGCAGGGACAGAGGGAGAGAGAATCTCAAGCAGGCTCCATGCCCAGCGCAGTTCTATCCCACAACCCTGAGATCATGACCTGACCAAAATCAGGAGCTGAACGCTTAACTGACTGAGCCACTCAGCGCCCTCATCATATAAACTTTAAAAGGAACAACAAAGGTATATTTTCATGAATTAAAAAGTCTGTAATTAAATTAAGATCAACAAAAATATACAAGGCTAAATTAACAGTATTCCATGTATAAGTATTTTAGAGGTCTTATTTCAGGATAACTCAGTACGATTTCTTTTTCCGTGGTCTCTTGTGGTAGTGCCAAACCCCTCCCTACCCTAATCCAAAATAACAACATAGTACCCATTCCCAACATGGCCTAGTAAACACTAACTTGGATTTTATGAGTATAGAATTTGAGGTTCTTTTTTCTTCTTCTTCTTCTTTATACTTATCTATATTGTTAAGCGCTTTTTTAAGATTTTATTTATTTATTGACAGAGAAAGAGAGATCACAAACAGGCAGAGCAGCAGGCAGAGATAGAGAGGGAAGCAGGCTCCCTGCTGAGCAGACAACCCCGATGTGGCCCTGAGATCATGACCTGAGCCAAAAGCAGAGGCTTAATCCACTGACCCACCCAGGCGCCCCAAGTTAAACATTTTTTTTTTAATGCAATAAGCATTTCCCCTTCATTTTAGGGGGAAAATGTGTCAGTAAGTAAATGTTAAAGACTGTCAATAAAAAGGGTCAGAGATAAGGAAACTCAGCATATCAAGGCAAGCATACTCACTTTTTCATATCCCAAAGACAAAGAAAGAAAATACCAACAACTATTTAGATAACTGCAATTTAAAAATCTAAAAGATGACCTTGTATTTTTATTCTACAAATAATTCATTCTTAGAAGGTGGTTTTTAAAAAAACCAACTTATTCCTTAGCTTCCTGTTTTTGGAAAAGGAAGCTAAATCAATATGGTTTAAAAAAAAAAAAAAAAAAAAAAAGAGGGCACAAAATCTTTTTGTCCACATATGAAATCCATGTTGTCAGTCCTCTTTCCCATGCCCCAGAGATTTAGATCTGACAGAATTTCACTCTTTAGCTCTATGCCCCCTCCTATTCCCTTAAAGTGTTACTTTAAGATGTAAAAAAGAAAACATCAAGAAACTTTGATTAGTGCCGTTCTTAAGAAAAATCTGCCATTTCATTTTTTTGTTTCCCCCAAATTATTATTCTAGTTCAAAGAATTACACATTTATGCAAAAACCTGCATTGCATTTAAGTTAAAAAGATCTCCTTAGCCCCAAACACTGTTAAAACAGGTTCCCTATTTAAAACTAATAAAATCCAGGGCGCCTGAGTGGCTCAGTGGGTTAAGCCTCTGTCTTCAGCTCAGGCCATGATCTCAGGGTCCTGGGATGGAGCACCACGTCGGGCTCTCTGCAAAGCAGGGAGCCTGCTTCCTCCTCTCTTTCTGCCTGCCTCTCTGCCTACTTGTGATCTCTGTCAAATAAATAAATCTTTTAAAAAAATTAAAAAAAAAATAAAACTAATATCCAGTTAGCACTTTATAAAAGTACATTAATATGGTACCATTTCATTGAATCTATAATGGCATCCACTGTGAGCTGTGCCATTTTTAAAAAAAAGATTTATTTATTTATTTGAGAGAGAGCAAGCGTGCACGCACGTGCACACCAGTGGGAGGAGGGGCAAAGGGAAAGAATCTTCAAGCAGACTCTCCACTGAGCATGGAGCCTGATACAGAGCTGGATCCCACAACCCATGAGATCATAACCTGAGCCAAAACCAAGAGTCTGATGCTTAACCAGATGCTTAACCGACTGAGCCACCAAGGCACCCCCTGCACCATTTTTAAATACTACTTAAATAAAACAATGCCAGCAATTAAGCTATCATTTGAGGTTTTCTTAGGTCTTTCAACTTTGACTTTATATTTGTGGAAATGAACCCTTAGACAGAATTTGATATACAACTCCTATGAACATAAAAGGAAAACACAAACAGCATAAATTTAATATTATCCTAACATTTTTTCAGAGTTCAATTCTTGTGAGTCACTTTTTGACTTAATCAATATCCAGGGGCGCCTGGGTGGCTCAGTGGGTTAAGCCGCTGCCTTCGGCTCAGGTCATGATCTCAGGGTCCTGGGATCGAGCCCCGCATCGGGCTCTCTGCTCAGCAGGGAGCCTGCTTCCTCCTCTCTCTCTGCCTGCCTCTCTGCCTGCTTGTGATCTCTGTCAAATAAATAAATAAAAAAATCTTTAAAAAAAAAAAAAAAAAAGAATCAATATCCATGTTTTCTCACCCAGTATTAGTCTATGCCATGGGGGTGATAAATATTTCTTCGAAGTGTTCCACTTTTGTCCCCAGTATTTTTTTCCAAACCACTGATACCCATTCAGCAAATTTTGATGGTGGCACTTGGCTTCATCGCAGGAGTCAAAGGAATATTTTCAGAGAACAGGACTGATGGTCCTTCAAGTGGCTGTTAAATTGAGTTGCTGAATGCTGAAAGGCCGCACTTGACCAGTCATGCCACTAGGAGAAACAATCATGTGTGCACATTTGCGACCCAACTACAAATAAATTGTCAACTGTAGGGGGGCATCTATCTCAGTATCAGACATGTCAAGATGTGGAAAAAGGAAAAAAAAGTAGGTCTCATAATCTGTGAATATATTCCATATTATGTCAAAGAAAGAAGTCTTCAATTGGGACTAGAGTTTTATCTTCCTAGTTCTAGCACTGATGAATCACTGATATTTATCTATACATAAAATCAATCATTTTTAAAAGATCATATCTGTTATTAACCAGCAAGTTTCATTTTGCTCCAGATTTTCAAAACAATATATAACTATGGACAAGACATCTAGTGTAGCCTTAAAGATTTCCTGTCTCAATAAATACGATCTTTTGCAGAATGGGAGATTAAATTCTAAAGATGTTTATATCCAATCAACTAGATTTGAACTTGCAAATAGCCCTCTATTTTAACACTATAAATCAAAACTAAAAATGAGTAACTGCGATTTAGGATACTCTTCTATGACTCCAGGTTCTAACTTTTTTACATAGCAACTGACAGAACACTTTTGACTAGGATCAAATGATCTAAATAGAAACCTATCTACATTCTTTTTGTTATTTGACTTCTTGGACTCTATCCTAGATAAACAGTCCATATGACAACAAAAATTTATGCCGCAAAGCATTAACCTCAGTCCTATATATAAGACAAAACTTGTGGAAAACTCTTGAAGTCCAACAGTAGGACAACTGTTAAGTCACTTAAGGAAACATGCAACTTTCAAATTTTTTTATTCAGAATTTAATAATATGTGAACATATTTACATTACAATGTTAAGTTAAAGCCGAATAAAAATTGTTATGCACAAGAGAACTTTAAATACGTTAAAATATATAAAAGAAAACAAGGAAAAATTGTTTAACAGGGTTTGCTGCTGGGTGCAGGACAGATAGCTGTGTTTCTATACCTTCCAATTTTTCTAAAGCACGTAACTATAATTTTTATAATTAGGTTCAAAAATAAAAACACTCGCTATAACAGCTGAGATTCAGAGAAGTTGACAGACTTTCCTTAAAGTGAAGTGGCAGTGAAGACTAAAACTCCATCCTGAACCTCGGAATCCAGGGCTTTCCATCCTACCACAAGTTCTCCCTAAGTATTACTTCCAAGCATCTTCCCTTTCTAAATCTCAGTTGTCCCAACTAATTTTTCCAAGTAAATAATACCTAGTTCAAATTCTTACTTACAGAAATTGAAAGAATATCAAGGTGGCTATTTTCATTAAAAATTACTATAAAACTGAAACCAATATGGCACGTACTTGTAAAAAAACAATGAATGCTCAAGTTGTAAACTCACTGTGTGAAAAGTACAAGAAATTAGTCTGATGAGTCAGATCATATCCTCCACACAAGTCATGGCAAGGGCACTGTGCTACCCATTCTGGACTGTGTATAATATTTATGGGCTATAAAAACCAGGCCAGGTAAGAAAGGTAAGGCAACCTGCTGAGTCTTATATAACAGTAGTAAAGTGACAAAGTGCACCTGAACAATACATGCCACAAAATTTTTACAAAACATCTGAAACAAACATAGCTTCTAACTTTCCACTACAGAAATCATTAAGAACTTGAACTAGCTATACTGGCAGTCAAGATAAACCAAGATGTGGGGTTTATTCTGTTTCAGTTTAGGCTGATAAGAGAACATTACAGCAAAAAACTGGCTTGTGAAGATAACTCTCCCCTGGGGGGGGGGGGCGGAAATCAAGTCCACAATCAGAGCCAACTTCCACTTGGCAATTAAAACTGGCACAAAGTCATGACACACATCACACAGGCCAGGGGGATCCAGCCCCTTCTTCCTCATCTTTCGGGGCCATATTAAACTATCAAGACATACATGAAACATGTGCAACTGCAGTTCTGAATAAATAGCATTTCAGAGGTAGCCAACCAGCAACATCGTCGCCTTAAATCGCTTAAATCGTGTAAAAAAGACAGGCTTAGGGATGGTGTTTCTCGACCCAACTTACAGCGCCTACCTACATGTTTTTAACAGAACTCATCTCATTCTTCAATAGTGAACCCGTAACAAATTGTTACATCTCCCTAGACTGCCTGAGGCGAGAGCAGCCACAGCGGCATTATCCCCCCAAAGCACGGAAACACGGGCTTTTATTCTGATGAGTTTATTAGGGCCAAGTCTGCATCATTCCGCGCAGCAGTCTTGGAGCCGCGAAGGCGCCGTCCATCACAAGCCGTGCACAGCTCGAGTGACAGCAGATACAGTCGCGGCCACAACACTGCACAGTCCGCGGGGAGGCTCCGAACCACATGAAGGGCTTCGCCGGTGACTCTCCACGCGGGCAAACCAGCAGCCTTCCAGCATCTCCCGAAGAAAAACTATCCATTTCCTTCCCTAGGTTGCTCAGAAATCATGGAATAAGTCTACGGTTTCTTTTTGTTTTTGTTTTCCTCCTTGTGTCCTTCCTCTGAAGAGACCTTCGGGGAGGAAATCCCGGGACTGGCATTTATGACCTTACAGGCGATAAAAACGCACCTTTCGTCAAATACAAGGCAGCCCCGAAACGTACGTGACCGCCGGGCCCACGAGCGAAGGCGGCGGAGGTTCGGTCGCCGCCCGCCGACGTCCCAGACCCCGCGCGTGCCTCTCGGCCCAGCCGCACAGGCCCACGCGGGCCTCGGGCTGGCGGCCCGGCCGCGGCGGCTCGGGGCGCGGCCCGCGACGGGCGGGGACACTGGCCGACGGCGCCCACCTGGGCCGAGGCGGGCACCTGCGGTGGCCGCGGCGCCAGGCCTGGGGTCCGCCCGCCCTGCTCCTTCCCTCGCCTCGCGCCGCCGCCCGCGCCTCACCTGCGGACTGTCCTCCAGCGTCTCCTCGATGGGCAGCTTGTCGATTCCCGGCATCGTGGCGGAGGGAGGGCGGCGGCAGGAGGCACGGCAGCCGCCCACAGCTCCCCGCGCCCGCCCGTCCGCTTGCAGAGGCTGACCGCGACCCGCCCTCTCTTACAGGCGCGTCCGCCGTCGCCGCCCGCGCCGCTCTTGCCAGGCGCCGAGCGGCCGCGCGGGAAATCCCGCCCCCTCGGCCGCTCTGCCCCGCCTCCCGGAACACCCATTGGCTCGCGGCGACGCCCGTCAGCGCCGCGGGGTAGGCCGAGAGACTCCTCTGCTGCGCGGGGCTGTGCGGTGAGCCGTGGCCTTGGGGGCTATGGTGCTTGCTTGGAAGGACCTTATGCCCTGCCCGCGCGTTTTGATGTAAATTGTAGGGGACCGTTTACCCCACACCTCCGACAGCGAAGGTTTCCGGGAACTAGAGCCTCGTTTGAGGAGGACCACAGTAGGAGTGTGGGGCGGCTTTCCTTCTCCCGCAGCATTTTTCATCAGACCGCGGAAGAGGCCCTACTGCCGGGGGGCCTTTCTTAGTTGCTTAAATTACAACGTTCCCAACCCTGCCCGGAGCGTCCGGTCTACGTCTACTCCCCACCCCACACCCTCCAGCGAAATGGTGCTGGCTACCTCAGATGTTTTGAAACCCCAAGTTGTGTCTAATAGGGCCTACCAGTAGATTCACGGACAGTAGACTCGAAATTATTTTCCCGGACACTTGGGTATCAGTATGTTCAGTTAAAAACATGTGATTTGTTGTCAGTTCATCAATTCTTACCTGGCCTTGAAGGGCTGTCGTTCCTCAATTCAGACTCCCCCCGTATTTCTTTTAAATCGCAAATGACAACATCTTTTAAAGATCTGGATGCACTGGTTAATTATGTCGGTAACTGATTAGCATTTCTGTTAGGTCAAAAAGTTTTGGAAGAAGTTTTAAATAGCTTCTTCAGCCTCTAATTTTACAGTAGATAATAGTGAAGCCCTAATTCCAGAACCTGGTTTGGATTGGAACTTCTGGTTCTTTGTCCTTCTTCCCCAACCTCACACTGCCTCATTTATTTCTCTGTAGAGTTATAAGAAGTTTTCATCAGTATACAAAAAAAAAAAAAAAAAGCAAAATCATAAGGGCCTTGTAAAATTCTAGCCACTTGGGGCACCTGGCTGGCTCTGTTGGTAAAGCATGGGACTCTCAGTCTTGGGGTTGTGGGTTCAAGGCCCACATTGGGTGTAGACATCACTTAAAAAAACAAAATCAGGGGCACCTGGGTGGCTCAGTGGGTTAAAGCCTCTGCCTTCAGCTCAGGTCATGATCCCAGGGTCCTTGCTCCGGGCTCTCTGCTCAGCGGGGAGCCTGCTTCCACCTCTCTCTCTCTCTCTTTCTCTCTCTCTCTGCCTACTTGTGATCTCTGTCTGTCGAATAAATAAATAAAATCTTTTTTAAAAAGCGTTAAAATAAATAAAACTCTGGCCATTAATCCAGTCAATCCATTCCATTTTCACTTGCGAAATATAAGAAATGCTGAGTAAAGATTATTAGTTGCCTGGTTCCACAGATACACTGGAATACATCCAGATACAGTAGAACAAACCCAAATATGGGAACAGGAACAGAAGTTACATATTTAAGACTAAAATGATACATTTTCCCATGACCTCTTGAAGGAAAGATAAAATCTGGTTTTAAAAGTTTTACTAAATAAGGGCACCTGGGTGGCTCAGTCATTAAGAACCTGCCTTCAGCTCAGGTCATGACCCCAGGGTCCCCAGATCAAGCCCTGCATTGGGCTCCCTGCTTGGCCTGAAGCCTGCTTCTCCTTCTCTCACTTGTGTTCACTCTCTTGCTGTGCCTCTGTCAAATAAATAAATAAAATCTTGAAAAAAATAAAAAATAAAAGTTTTACCAAATAGATTGCAATATTGTTTCACAGAATTATTCTTAGTGTAATAAGCTTTAAATAAGAGTTCTCTCCTTATATTGTTTGTTAACCACAAACCCTTCTAGAAGAGATTTTTAATTTTGGAAAGGTGGTTTGTAATCAGTTCTTAGAGTTACTGGTTCCCAGCTGCTTCAAAGTACTCAGCATCTTACAGATTCCAACAACCCAGCTCTTTGCTTTGGTATTTGTTTTCTGCTCTATGAGGACAGTGACATGCAACCTGCCTCTAAAGAAGAAAGATTTTTCAAAGTAAATGACCTTCTTATAAGCTATGATTTAGCTTATAAATGAAGGAGAAGAAAGATTGTAGCAACTGATAAGAATCAAGAGTAAGTGACAAGTAAAAACAAGTGTAAGAAAGAAGAGTAATTATATGTTGTAATTGACGGGGTTTGGCCAGTTGACTTGGCCAAACCAAACAATTCGATGAAAAATTCTGTTAGGTATCTGAGTTATCTGGGTGGCATATTATCACCAAGTTAAGTGGTTTCCTTTTTTTTAAATTTCTGCGCATCTAAACTGTATTTTTGTAAAGGATTCTCAAGCAGTTATGAGGGAGTGGCAAGAAATTCTTGCCAGATTTAGCCAATCAGAAAAAATGAAATAGATGTGGGAGGGGCTTTTAAAAAATGAAACAAACACAAACAAGTTGACTTTCAATTGTGTGGAGAGGCAGTTTAGTCAAATTACGAAACTAGAAAGAATCTTACCAGGCCTTCTTTTTGGATCCTCTTTTTGGGCTATTGTTTACTCTCATTCAAAAAGATAATTGTATTTACTATTTTAAAACATTTCTAAAACTACAGAACTCACAGTCTCCTTTGGTAACCCCTTTAATCAGACTAAATTTTGTACAGTGGACCAAGCTCAGTTCCTTTTATACAGGAAAGGAGGCTTGTTCAGAAAATGCCTTGAGGGTTACTGGAGACTCCTGTGGGTAGGATGGTAAAAACTTTGGCCAGCTGGATAATTTTATGGAAGGCAAGGCAGGATTAAACACCCACTAAAGAATTCTTTGAGACGTTTCACACATATAATTCATTGAGATGTTTCCATATAATTTACAACAAAAGGACATATAATCTTGTAAATAGATTTGTTAATTATTAGCCTCCTAAAATTATATTTGATCCTCTCATAATTAGGTTTTTACATGATATTCCTTGAAGTTCTGGTCTGTGGTCTATAATAGGAAAGAACCCAACAACCCCAAGGATGCTGGTACTTTACTTGGTTCAAAATTATCCCCATACGTTAGTGGTTGCCTAACTCATGTACATGCAAAATTTATCTTGGGGAGGCTGTTAGGATATAGATTCTTGAGCCCAGCTGGGAGATTCTAATGCAGTAGGTCAGAGGTGGGGCTGGGAATTTCCCCAGATGAGTTCAAAGATAATCTTCAAAGCACGTGTTGAAAATCTGTATCCAAAAAGGAGACTAGCTAGGGGCACCTGGCTGGCTCTGTTGGTAGAGCATGTGATTTTTGATCTCAGAGTTGTGAGTTCAAGCCCCACATTGGGTGTAGAGGTCACTTAAAAATAAAATCTTGGGGTGCCTGGGTGGCTCAGTTGGCTAAGCGTCCAACTCTTATTTTCAGATCAGGCCATGATCTCAGGGTTGTGAGATCAAGCCTCACATGGGGCTTGGTCCTGGGCATTGAGCTTGCTTAAGAATCTCTTTTCCTCTTTCTCTGTCCCTTCCTCCTCTCTAAAAAAATAAAGAAAGAAAGAAAGAAGAAGAAGAAGAAGAAGAAGAAGAAATAAGTAAATAAATAAGTAAATGAAATCTTTATTTATTTTTTTTTTAAAGATTTTATTTATTTGACAGACAGAGATCACAAGTAGGCAGAGAGGCAGGCAGAGAGAGAGGAGGAAGCAGGCTCCCTGCTGAGCAGAGAGCCCAGATGCGGGGGCTCAATCCCAGGACCCTGGGATCATGACCTGAGCTGAAGGCAGAGGCTTTAACCCACTGAGCCACCCAGGCGCCCCGAAATCTTTTTTTAAATAGAGAATAACCATTTCCCTTGCCCAAATAAGTTTGTATTTTAGAAAATTTAAAGAGTCATGTAAACACTTAGGAAAAGAGTTTTTGGTTCCAGTTGAGGATGGTGAAAGGGAACCATTTCAAAGCAAAGGTTATTACCCTGTTTTTATATCTTGGGGTTTTTTTTTGGAAGTGGGGAAGGAGAGATGCCCTAAGGCTAAAAGACTTCAAACCCCCATGACGCTTTTAACCCCGAGGAATTCTAGTGGGCAACAGGCAAGTCAGTGAAGAAGACATTACTCTGAGAGAAGTCAATGTGTCCCATGACTGTTTAATCATTAAAAATTTTAATTTTCACAGAACCACAGAGGACAGTAAAAAATAGAGTAAATGAGAATTGATTAAACCAGTATAGTTTATCACTCGGGTAATGTAAAAAAGAGTCTCAGCGTTAAGTAGCAAGCACCTCCTTCCAAGAAACACTAGATGGTGCTCTGAAATTAGTTTTGATTCAAATGCTTCAGGAAATGGCTGTCTTCAACAAATATTTATTAGGTTATGAACAAAACAGTAAAGATCCTTGCCCTTGTGGAGCTACCGTTTAGTGGGGAGGGTGAGAAGAAAGGCAGACAATAGAAAACAAACATAATAGGTGGTATTAGGAGCATAGTGTCTTAGAAAGTGGTAAGTGCTGTGAAAAATAAGACAGGGAAAAAAAGGTTGGAGGCAGTTCCAATTTTAAACAGGCTCATCAGAGTGGGCTTCATTAGGAAGGAGAGACCTGAACAAAAACTTAAAGGAGTCACTGGAGTGAGTGATGGGGATATCTGGGGATAAAGTGTTCCAGGAAGAGGAAAAACCAGGGCAGAGGTTTTACACCCTAAGACAGGAGTGGCCCAGACTGTTTTAAGAATTTCATAAAGCAGGGCGCCTGGGTGGCTCAGCAGGTTAAAGCCTCTGCCTTCAGCTCAGATCATGATCCCAGGGTCCTGGGATTGAGCCCTGCGTCGGGCTCTCTGCTCAGCGGAAAGCCTGCTTCCTCCTCTCTCTCTCTGCCTGCCTCTCTGCCTACTTGTGATCTCTGTCTGTCAAATAAATAAATAAAATCTTTAAAAAAAAAAAAGAATTTCATA